AGGCTGATATTTTGGATTCATAAATATTCAGATGTTCTCACAGTTATTTTTTTCCTTAGCTATATCACTGTAACCTGTTAATTTGAAGTGGGACTTAATGTGTGTAGTGAAACAGGAGTGGCTCATTTATATAAAAAACAGTCAGCTAGGGAGAGAGAATGCATTTTATCTCAAAACAGGTAAGTATTGGAAAAAAAATTTGCATGAAAAAATACTAATGCTCACAAAAGTGGTCTTCATAATATTTAAACAATATTGTTATGCATGCTATTTTATACGATGGTAATACTGCAGAGGTTTCAAACATGATTCTGTGAGTATCACAAAATATTTACTTGTTATTTTGAGAGTACAAAGCACAATTTTAGGCAGGGCTAATTGGACGGCTTTTTTTTTTTTTCTTTTTCACTAAGCATGATTCCAAAGGGTATATTTAAGAGAAGAAGAGAAGAAGAAGAGAACAGAGATATGCCAGAAGAAGGAATGAGAAGATCTGATATTATGAGCTAAGTGGAATAAAGACCTGATGAAAGTGATAGTTAATGAAAAGGGAAATAGATAATGGGAATAGAAAATGGGAATTACAGATACTGGAGCTCAGAAATGAAGGCAAGTAGATTACAGAGGTTGAATAGGTACGACAGATATTACAGGGTGAAAATGAAAGGCTAAGAAACTGCTTCTTGTAGGAGAATTCTGAGTCATATGAGCAAAGCTGCCAAAAAGGGTGCTGCAGCAACTGAAATATAATATGATAAAAGCCTGGCGGAGAAAGATTTAGCCATATGGCTTCTCAGGAAAGTAATAACCATCACACCCACATCATAAGGTATTATATTCACAAAAGCAACAGGAATTTTAGATGTATTTAGGATCAGGAAATTTAGAAATTGAAGAGGAATATCACAACCATATTAAAGATTTGAGTGATAGGCTGGATGGCAGTACTGTTAATATCAATCAAGAAATACAGAGAGAAAGGGAGATAGGCAAACAGAGGTTTTAGATTAGATAAGAGAGGAAAAGCAATGCTGATCTGCAAGTTGTTGTCATAGAGATCAGGCTTATGATTGAGATCAAATTTAGAGAGAAAAATTAAGAGAGTTGCCTAAAGAGCCATTAAAATTACCTTCTGATACTGCACATGTAGAAGGAAAAGCTACAGAGATTGAAGAAGGATCAGCAGGTGACAGAGTAGTGTTAAGATAATAAAATACAAATCATATTAGAAAGACTGGAAGTGATTTTCAATGAAGATTAGCAAACGTTTTGAAACATGAAAAAAAGAGATGTGTTAATGAGAACCACGCCAGGAGATCTCAAAAAACACTGGAAGATAAATAAAAGAAGTTCTATAATGAAGATGAGAATCTTGAAAAATATAGCAGAGACAGTTTAAAATTATCTGGCAGGTAATATCAAATATATGGGGAAAAAGATGGAGAACAATGCTTACCCCTAAAGAAGACCTCGCTGCACCAACATTTTAACTACTGTTCTGATTTCCAATTCTCAAGAAGGATATTGGTCATTGAGAAAATAAGAGAGAGAGAAGCAAAATGGTCACAGAATAGAGCAGTCACAATTTGAAACTGAAAATCCTGGTATTCTTCATTTAAAGAGGGGAGTGAAGTGTAATGTGTTAAACATTTATGGAATCATGGAGGGGATAAATCTGTTTACGAAGGTGGAGAGTGACAGGACAAGGGGCAGTGGTCTTAAACTGAGGCAGGGGAGGTTTAGGTTGGATATTAGGAGGAAGTTTTCCCCCAGAGGGTGGTGAGGCACTGGAACAGGTTGCCCAAGTAGGCTATGGATGCCCCATCCCTGCAGGCATTCAAGGCCAGGCTGGATGTGGCTCTGGGCAGCCTGGGCTGCTGGTTGGCGACCTGCACACAGCAGGGGTTGGAACTGGATGAGCACTGTCCTCCTTTGCAACCCAGGCCATTCTAGGATTCTATGAATCTATGATTATGAAAGTAGAAGAAATGATGAATGACATTCACTGAACTTTATGAAACCCGAAATTTAACCGTTGGAATGCAACGCAGATCATTTTAAACCAGTTAAAGAAAGTACTTTTTTAACAGAACCTAGCTAACTTCCAATACTTGTTTCTAAACAAAACTGTAGAGTAAGTATCACTGAATTCAAGCACACGTTAGAGAGGCACTTGGAAAATAATCTGTAAGATATGGGCAGAGTTATGCACTATGACATCTATAATGCAATAACTGTGGATTCTGGGCAAGAGAAGGACTATGGCCCATGGAAATTAACTTAGGTTGAGAGGTCTTGCTAGAGACCATGTCCCACGGTCACCGCATCCCAGAAGTATCTCCTCCAATGCTCTTATGTTTAAACAGAATTTTCTTAGAAACATTATCATTTTCTCTCGTCAAACTAAACACACACAGATGGTATCACTGAAATCTAGAAACTGACAGATTTTTCTACTGCTAGCTGAGTGTTCTGTACAACTCCAATCTCTTTTCTTTCTGACGTGGAGGAAACTAGAGGCATCCAAGCCTATTCATCTGACTTTTCTGATTAATACCAACATTAGTATAATCTGACTCCTTTTTTTTTTTCTTTTTCCTTTCCTGAACATTGTCTTCTTCCTCTTGACTTGATTTCTCGTGGTATAATTAATGGTAGGAGTATGCAAAGTGACATTAGCAGAATAAGCCTTTGTTTAGCTGACTTTCTGTTATAAACTCATCCTACAGCTCTTACTGTACAGAAATGTAACCATCAGCACTGCTTAGAAATTCCACACCAATTTCTGTTTATTTTATTACATAGTTCTTTTAGTAAACAAGAATGGAGGCAAGCATTCCTGAAATATTTTGAATCCAAACTATTGAATATACACAAAGAATATTCTGCTCTTGCTCGGAGCAGGTCTGTTTGCTTTATTGTTTTTTCAGAACTATTATTATTATTATTATTCCTTCAGACCATATTTCTGTCTGGTTTAGTTAGGTTTTTTATTTATCCAGCTGGAAAACAGAACATGGTTTGAATCCTTGTTAAAAAGAATTTTCTCCTAACACCTATCTATTCTCCCTATTTCATTCCTGATCATTTTTGTCTAGAATTTAAATAAGTCAGTTTGCAGTACTTCTCTTTCCAGCAGTTTGGAAATCACAATGCACAAGCTCTATAAATGAGACCATGCATTGTACTGATTCTACATTTTAACATCCTTATATAACCATATACAAATAGCAAAAGTTTGTTTTTAAAAATTGTGCAATAAATAAAACTTTCACACTTGACATCTGTAACTGCATGCTGAAATTTTTTGTTCTGTCATTAGTGGCTCCACGCACCTTAATCTGACAGTGAAAGAGGGAATGAATTTAGCTAACAGGCCCTGATAGGATGAGCTGAAGTTCAAAAAGCTTTAAAACAAATGAATTAAAAAAAAAATCTATGTTTAAATCTTTAAATGACGTTATATCGCATACAGCACTCTCTACCTGATTCTGGTGTTGTGCTTGTGACAGTTTGATGATTCTCCATAGAGATCAGAAAAAATACATAAACATGCATGGAGGGAAGATTTCTTTCTCAGTTTTAGAGCAAATGCTGCCTAGACTAATTTGTGGATCCAGCAGCAGTTTGAATTCAATAGTCAGGGGAAAGTCTGAGCGGGACTATGTTTATAAAGAAAAGAGCTATTTACTTCCCACAAATTTGCATACTTCAAGAATACTCCAGTGTTTTTTAAGAGATTCTCTTCAATGGGTTACAGCCAATAGAGCAATAGCATTTGTATCACTGAAAGTCAAGTATTATCTGTAAACAAATAGTAGATATCCATTTGGCTTTTGGTTTCAGGCACAGAGAACAATGCTCTTGGCTGTGCGAATTTCATTACCTGTTTATCACATGTGACCATACTTTGGCTCTGCTTGGATGCTGTTACAATCCCTTTAAAATATCACTTTTTACAGACTGTCCTTACTAACCATTACACCACAGCCCAAATTTTCTAAACAAAGTATGAAGTCAAAGCTTCTGGATCCTGGGAAACAGCTATCCTCTTCTTATCACCATCTGCTGATTTTGGACACAGTGCAACACATAATCATGGCTTCAGTTGGAAGGGAATTTAAAACCACTCAGCTCCAACCCCCTGCCATGGACAGATCTGCCACCCAGCAGCTCAGCTTTGTTTAGTGCTGAGCCTTGAGCTCCTACAGGGATGGGGCACCCACAGCTTCACTGAGCAGCATATGCCAGCACCTCACCACTCTCTGAGTAAAGAATTTCCTCTTAATATCTATCCTACATCTTCCCTCTTTCAGTTTAAAACTTTTCCCATCGCCCTGTCACTATCAGATCATGTCATTCTTCCTCCTTTTCATAAGGTTCCTGGAAGATCATAAAGAGGTGTCTCTCTGGATCCTTCTCCAGGCTGAACAGGCCCAGGAGGAAGAAGCACGAGCCCTTTGATAATTTTGTCTCACATCTGCTTTATCATGTCTTCCAGGAGGGTCAGTTCCATGATCTTCCCGGGCGCAGAGGTGAGGCTCACTAGTCTGCAGTTCCCTGGGTCTTCTTATCTCTCTTCCCTAAAAATGGAGTGATGTTTCCCTTTTTCCAGCCACCAGGGACTTCACTTGACAACCATGACTTTTGGAAGATGGTGCAGAGGGGCTTGGCGACTACATCAGCCAGTTCCTACACAACCTTGGGATGTCTGATTCCATAGACTTGCGTATATTCAGTCTCATCAGGTGGTCTTCAATTTGTTCTTCTCTTACAGTGGGAGGATTTTGCTCCTCCAAGTCACATTTAGATGTTCAGGAATGTAAGAGATATGGGAAGCCTGACTGCAAGTTAGGACTAAGGAAAAGAGCTCATTGACTACTTCAGTCTTCTCCATGTCTGTTCAAACTACTTTTCCCTTCTCACTTGCAAAGGAAGGTACAATTCTCCTTGGCCTTTATATTCTCACTAATATACGTTTAGAAACTTCTCTTGTTCTTTTTCATGTTCCTTGAAAAGTTAAGTTTCACTTGCACAGGCTTTCACAATCCTTAACCTCCTTAATGAGTTCTTCTGCACTGATGAGCACCCTATTCAGTAATGGTTCTTTTCTAGTTGATTTGTCTAATTCACAGTGGAGTAGAATTTGTCCACCATGGACTCCAGAATTCTCCTGGATTTCTTAAGCCCTCTCTGTTGCTGTTCAAGCATACATCCAGTTAACTAAAATCTCTTATCAGGATGAGAAGCATGATGAGAAGCAAGCATGATGCCTCTTATGGTTGAAGCAAGAAGGCCATGTCTATGGGCTCCCCTTGATTTTGGGACACTGACCATTAGATGTCCTTTATCAGTTCAGTCCCTAGTTTTAACCCAGAAGTGCTCAGCCTGATCATAGCTGATTTTTAGAGGCAGCTCTTCACAATCCAATCACTTCTTGATACAGTGAGCATCTCATCTGCCTCTCCCTCCCCCCCCCCTTTCCTGTTGCCTATCTCTTTTAAAAAGCTTTTAGCCCTCAGTCATAATGTTCTAGTTGTGTGATTCATCCCACCACTTTTCTGTGAGTTTTCTTATTGCCATGTGGCTTCTAGCTTCTCCTTTTCATTTCTCATGCTGCGTGCTTTGGTGTACAGGCACTTTGGGCTGTCAGCCATGTTATCTTCTTCAGGAGCCTTCCCAGATATATCTGGGATAGATCTGAAGTTTTCCACTGCAGTTTCCTAAAGTGACAGTGATTTCTAGAACATTCTTGCCCCATGTAGCCAATTGCATTCCATCCAACATCAGCAGGCCCAGTTTCTCGAAGGGCCTGTCCGAGATCACAGTACCCATAAGATTGAGCACAACACCATCCACAACCCATTGACAGAAATTCACCTCATCCATTTTCCTCCTTCCTGAGTCCCAGCCTTCAAATGGGAGGACAGAGGAGAGCCCTACCCATACTCCCAACCCATTCAACAGCCTCTCAGGGGACATAAAGCCACTTTTGATGTTTTGCAGTCTCCTTGCAGCAGCCTCATGAGATCCAATGTGAATGGAGCAGGAGTGGATACTACCAGCAAGTCACATGTGCTTCCACTAACAATCCTGACCATACTAAATCGTTCCTACACTTCTAGCAATTATCTAATGAAACATCCAAAGATACAGGTATATTTGTTGTCTCTGTTTAATATAATTATTAGTTACATTTTCTGAAAAACAAATCGGAATATTCAGATGAACAGCTTATTGTGGCATCAGTTTTGATTGTTCCTAATATGTAAAATATTGTGATGATTGAAAGGAAAAAAACAAAAAAAAGAAACCTAACCTCTTTTAAAGGAAAAATAGTCTGAATAATCCAGTTTCTCACTGGTTACTTCTTATGCAAAAAATGAATCTTGGCTACTTACAAATATGAATCAAAATATGTTGTTACTTTTCTTCTTTGCCAATTGGAAAAGAACATACTTAGCAGGAGTCACTAAAACTAGATCTTCATTAACAATGTAAGTTGCAGCAATGCCCAGACAAGAACTAAAAAACTTATATGCATGGTTCTCACTATGATCTTGTTCTTAAGTCAGATAACAAATTCTGACCTTAACTACAGCAAAGAAGAAATTGAAATCAGATTTCACATGTTGCAATTTCACTTACATTGTGCCATGAATAGCAGTAGCTGATCCAAAATGGAAGATTAGTAACACAATGTTTTTGAAGGTATTTGGAGATTTGCTATGTCCCTGGGCACCTAAGTATCTTTTAAAGTCTGTATTCCATCACGTTTTATTGCTGTGGAACTGATTTAATTGCCTCCTCGATTCCAGTCAGTAATAAAACTTGACAAGGCTCCTAGAAAGGCTTTGACAAACTACACATTTCATTAGCCATTTCATGTGGGAATGTAAACTTTTTGTTTACTGAAAATTAAAATGAATTGCTGCAGGAGCAATTTTAGAGATTGCTTGGAGGTGAAAAGATGCACTTTAAACATGTACTCAGAAAGTAGCCATCTATTAGGTCTGCGCCGAAAGTAATGCCTCCTATTTTATTATGTTGACCCACAATGTCTGATGCAGATGTTGTGCCTTCCCACCAATGTTCCATTCCTTTTGTTCCCAGGTGACAGATGGCAGCAGAGGGGCAGTCTGACAAAGTGGCATCCAATATGAAAGTGCATATGGAGCAAAGTCATATGACTGAATTCCTTAATGTGGAAAAAATTGCACTCATCAACATACATCAGTGCTTGCTGAATGTTGATGAAGACCAAACAGTGGATGTCAGCACAGTGAAGCAGTAGATGGTATGTTTCAGCAAAGGTGATGGCATTGTGGAAGACAAGCCATGTTCCAGATGGCCATGCACCACAAAATGTAGAGTATCTCAATCAGCTCATCTGTCTGAATTGGCTAATGTTGATGAACATGTTGAAAAACAGGAATCCTAGGCTTTTGAGACCAGGAGGAAAGACTGGAGTAAGAAAGACTTACTATCAGTGGTGTAGGAGTAGTTAGGTAAAGTTTAAGTAAATTTGACATTCGATATATAATGTATACATATAATGTTTAAGTTAATTTGACCAGGACCTGGTCAACTGCACCCACAAGAGCTGGCAAAATGGTCAGTGTACTTCAGAGGCAATTCCTGTAAAACACAAAGGACAGCAGATAGCAGGGATTTATGAAAAAGAAATTTTCCTTAACCAGTTTGATAAATTATGTTTTGGAATCACTAGCTGAGTGCACGATGGAGAACAGTGGATTTTTATCTTGACTTTAGCAACTCTTTAAACACAGTTTTGTTTGTTTAGCACTCATAAACAGAGTGAGAACGGCTGCATAAGTTGGCAGTGAAGTGGACTGAAAATTGACTGAACTGCCAGACTCTAAGGATGGCCTCTAGTTGTAGGCTAGTCCTTAATGGTGTACTCCAGGGACTGATACTGGAGTCAACACTGCTGAACATTCATAATGATGCTGATTATGGGACTGCATGAACTCTCAGCAAGTCTGCAGAAATATGAAGCATAAAAGCTTGGCTGATAGTCTTTTAACTATAAAGTCTGTCATTTAGAGGGATTCCTACAGGCTGGAGGGATGAGCACAGAGGTGACTGACTAAGGACAAAAATGGCATATGAAAACATACTGGACTAAGTACAAAAAAGGATCAAAAATGTGACTATGAGCTTTGATTGTCTGACACAGGTCAGAGAAAGAGGACTCAATTGTAACTGTTCAGCATGGAGAAGAAAAGTGTGTAGGGAATCTTAAAAATATTAATGACTATGTAGGAGGTAGAAGTAATGATGAAGCCAGACTGTACTCAGTGCACCCAGTGAAGCAAAACAAGTGAACTGAAATACATGAAATTCTGTTTAAATATAAGAAACATACCCCCACCCCTCCACACCCACTCCCTCTTTTTTTTTTTTTTTTTAATATTATGAAGGTTGTAAAATACTGAATTGGCTACCCAGAGAGGATATGGAGTTTCTACCCTTGGATATATACAAAATCAGGTTACAACCCTATGTAGCTGATTCTACTTGAGGGGATTTCCACTGATTCAAATTCTGGCCCTGAGCATACCAAGTAATTATTAAAATGTTATAAAAGCACTCTCCAATTTTGTAAACAATAAAAATGAAAATAAAAAAATAGTATAATTAAATCATCAAAATAAATCAAACTATAGGTTTGATTGATAGGATGTTATTACTAATGCAAAAAATACTTGTGCAACTTTCATTCTGCTCTTACACATCAAGGTTGTACTCTGAAGGACCTAAAAGTCTCTTAGGAAAAAGAAGGGTTATGGTCAATAAAGAAAGATCATCAACCATCATTTCTTTTGACTGGATATCCATGGAGAGGTACAAGCACAAAACATGAAACTTCCATATTGACCACTTACAAAAGGAAACTGGAGTCAGTGGCCATTGATAACATCTTGCTGTTATTTGAGAAGCTGTACAGTGTATTTCAATCACTCATTTTCCAACATGTGCCCATCTTTGAGCATTATGGTCTTCAACAAATTTTGGTTAGGTCAATTGTTTGGTTAGTTTCCCCAGTGTTGGATTGTATTAACGCTAAACCCACTTCCTCTTCAAGAGCAGGATTTGCAGGAGGCAGCGTAAGGAAACTGCCGCCACATTACAGAAAGAAACGCAGCCATGCATCCTAAAATGAGGCATTTGACAAGAGATTCTCCTGAGAAGCCTCTTGTTGACCTGCCAGGTTCATCAGCGGGCTTTACACCGAGATTTATTTATAATCTCTGAACAGCTGAAATGCTAATCTATGCAACAACAGGAATCTTGCAGCTGACGCACAGTAGCACCAATTCTTCCCCTACAATAAAGCAGCATTAGTTATGATATGAATAATAAAGTTCCCCTCAGACTTCTGGTGGTAATCACGGACAAGGCCCTAATTAAAAAATGAAACTTTCATCTGCTTTTGTAATTTGCACAGTATCATGTGAAACAGAAGAAAGAAAACAGGAAGATTTTAGTCATAAAAAAACTATCTAGGGCCTGGACTCCAATGATGCAATTTATATTGCAGTAAGAATGTTTGTACTGTTCGTTTTTATAACGTTCTGTTCCAGAATTTCTGTTTTTGTGTGCCAGACTGCTTTGTATCCCAGGATAGACAATTCATAAATATCCCAGTTCACACCCTATGTCTTTGCTTTGCTTTGTTTTGATGTAGCATTTGAGACCATTTCCAATGATGAACACAAAATAATAATTAAAAAATAAAATTATATATTTGCAGAATGTCCTGACATTCAAAAACCAGCAATTTTTTCACTGATGAAATGTTGTTATATAGTGGCATACAGTGTGCATTCCACAGAGCTGAAAACAGGTTTTTCCATGAATTTACTAAGATACTTCACATCATGAAAGGACTGAAAGTTTGGTTACTTCTAAATGCTGTTTCTACACATGTATTCTTCCTGTTCCAGTTCTAGCTTAATCCCTGAAAGCAATCATTTTCTGTTTTCAGTGGGCATTCCACTTTGAAACATTAAGTGCTCTGAATACAGCTCACAGTAATGAACAGCTCCTGTAGAACGATCAGTATACTCAACATCAATTAAGTTGGCAGTTCTTGCTTATCTTTTACTTTTGCTTTTACTTCTCCTTTTTCTTCTATTTCTATTTACAAACTGAATTCTGACTGGACCTTCTTGGTTGGATTATTTATTTACCGTTTCACCCTTTCACAGGCGAGTTTATGTTAAAAAAGCCCTACATTTATATTATAGGTTATATTCATCCTTTGACTTTTAGTACATTTGGTAGGACAGAAAAAGTGATAGAATGCATCAAGAATCAAGAATGTCAATCATCTCCCAAGACTTGGTGGATTTGAAATACTGTTCAACATAATCCTGTACCTATTCAGAAACTGCAAAGGAGTTTGTAATTTTTTCTAAGGTGTATAAAATATATAACTTTCATCACAACACTCAAGTTATCAGATGATGAGGGAATAAGTTTTAATTCTGAAATCAGACTCTGTCTCTTGAGGATATTGACATACACAAATTACTCATGGGGTGAAGACTGGATTTTTAAAGAACGCAGATAAAAACAATGAAGTAAACAAAAGAAAAAAGAAAATAAATACTACTGGTAGGAATTGAAATTTACTGTGTAATGCTTTACAGTAAATATCATGGGCCCACGTTCAATGAAATGCGTGGAAGGCCTGCAAGACAAAATAAAATCGAAAGCATGTTGCAGTTGCTTAGTTGTGTGCAGTAATCATTTACTCCCTTATGCTGGAATTCCTTGTTTGAAGTGCTGTTTTTATTGTTTAATTGTGTAGTATTTTTACACGGTGAGGTAGGAGGGCTGGCTAGCTGCTGCCCTTTTGGAGATCCACACTGGAGCCTTTTTTTTGTCATGTTTTCTCCCATTTTTCTTCTGTTTGAAAGAGCAGTGTGGTGATGCTTGGCTGCCAGTCAGCATGAAACCACACTGTTCCATGAAATAAACCAGATGATTTTACAGAGACAAATTAATTAGCAATTAAAACATTAGCATGAAATAATATCATCTAAAAGACTCTGATCCCTCGTTAGCAGGCCCAGCACTCTGTTACAGCATGGATAGTCCCAGTTATTCACTTGATTGATTGACTCTTCAGTAGAGTCTGACTCCAAGTGAGTAAGATTTCTCTATTTGACTCTGTTGCTTGGATAGAAAGAAGGCTAATAAAATACAAGATAATTCAGTATTTTAAACATAAATTTGTGGACCTAATGTAGTCACTTCAATGAGAAGGTAATATAGTAATTTCAATGAGCTAGAATTCTCAATCATTTACATTCTTTTCATCCACATTCTGGTATACAAATCCAGAAAGTTAAAATACTGGGGAAAAATCACCTTGAGCACCACTGGAAATAAGTAGTTTGAAAAGACTGAAGAAACAGAAGAAAGAACAATAAATAAGGAATAAAGTAAAGATTCTTACAGTTCTTTGTTTTCAGAGAACACACATTGTAAGGCACATAGAAGCTAAGCTTTCAGTAGTGTGCTCCACTGTGCAAATCACCATTTGATTGTATTGACCCCTTACAGAGCATCAGACGGTGAACGTGGAGAATTCCTTAATGATATCAGCAGATATCAGTATGTTAAACAACCCTAAAGAGTACCATTTTATTGTGTGAAGAACAAGACAACCGATGTCAAAGCTTCCTCCTTTACCAAATAGCAGAAACATTTTCATTCTCATGCACTTTGGGTACCTGTATGCTCTTCATTCCATCCACACAGATTCAGAACAAGCCAGCTTCCCACTATGGACTTTGGTCAATGCCAAGCAGCACTTGTATCCCATTGCTTTTTTTTTTTTTCCTGGAAATTTATTTTCCTGGGATTTATTCTTTTCCTTCCACAGACTGATTTGTTCTCCCTAGGAACATTTTCGAACTCATGGAGGAAGAATCACTTACTTAATTGTTAATGACAAAGTAAAGCAGTGTTTGAGGGGGGTGCAGAATGACCTTACTTTCCTTACTTTCCTGGGGCTGAACCTCCCACTCACTGCAACATCACTTTGGAGAAATACAATACCTATTTCCTTAACACAAAAACAAAGTGCAAAACTCTGACTGAGGCTTTCAGAATTGATGGGCAGCTCTGCCTGCTAGTAACATTGTTCAGTCATTAGTTAAACCTGACATGTAGGAAGCACAGATTCAATGGATCCTTGTATGAATCTAAATATGTTTTTCCAGCAAGTATGAGCTATGAATTCACCTTATATAGGCCATGATTTGTCTGTGCATTATAAAAGAAAGTGAATCTTATCTGGCATCCACAATGCCAGAGGATACTTCTTTCCACCTGCATGCCAACTGCCCAGTCTTAACTCGTCAATAACCACAGAAAAGATTATGTCTCCAGGAGCAATGCGGCCAATAGCTGCATGACTGTAATCAACACAGAAACAACCAGAAGGATAAATTCTAGTAAAAATTGGAGGGAAATTGACAATTTGGTTCTTTGTAGCAATGAGAGTAGCAGGATTTCCAAGAGGGCATTTTTTAAGAGTCTAGAGCACGATGGGAAAAATGTATTTGTTGAATACTGAAAGCACATAATGGAAGAAGTATCACACTACATATCCCCAGGTTTTAGTATTCTGAACTAAGAAGTGATTGTCAGAGACACAATACACAAATAGGCAGATTTTCGTAAGAATTGAAAGACTTCCTTCTGCTCCTAGATAGGGCAATCATATCTTGGTATCATATTAGATATGAGGCACAGTTGAAATTTACTTTACACGGCTCGGTTTGAATGACGTGCCCAGCCAGTGGTCACCGATGTGGAACCAAATTCTAAACTGAACAAGCACGTAAGGCTGAGTGCTTTCCTGCATGCACCCTTTACAGACTGCAGTCAGCTTTGACTTTATTTTGAATGCAGCTGCTATGAGCTGTTTGCAAGAGATCACAGCCCTGGTGAAAAAAATCTCTCAGGGTCAGTTCAACAGAAAAACATGTCCAGCTTTATTTTGTATTTACATACATATTTACAGATTGTTCCTGCCCTTAAAGTGTGTATACAGTCTATATAGCTGTCTTACAAGACCCATTTTGGATGCAAAGCAGAGCAAAAGAGTAATAGTTACTTAAAGCCAAGAGTAAACGAACACACATACTATTCTCAATGCTTTGATGACTTCTATAGCCAAATTCTGTTTTCTACTACAATAACATTTGCTTGAATAATAGTCAGCTTTACTATATTTACTATATATTTATATTATGTAGGTGTTTACCCATGGAATACTGCATACTCACGCGCTTGAAGGTACAGTGGCTTTGTCAAGGGTTTTGGGAAGGCTGGATTACTTGACTGGCCACATTCAATCAAGTGATATTCTACAAAGCTAAATGTCAGGTCCTGTGTCTGGATCATAAAAGCCCCATGCAGTGATATAGACTTGGCAAAATGTGACTGGAATGATGTCCAGCAGAAAAGGATCTGAAGGAGCTGGTTGAAAGACAATGAACATGAGCCTACTGTGTGCCCAGGTGGCTGAGAAGGCCAATGGCACTCTTGCCTTTATCAGTAGCAGTGATGTAAAAGGACTAGGGAAGTGATTATCGCCCAGTACGTGACACTGGTAAGACTACACCTCAAATACTGTGTTCAGTTTCAGGCCCCTCACTGCAAGACAAATGTTGAGTTGCATGAGCATGCGCTGCAAAGAGCAGTGAAGCTAGTGAAGGTACAAAAAAAAATTATGACAGGTAAATGGGGGAACTGGGGTTGTTTCTTCTGGAGGGGGCTAAGGGCTGATATTATTGCTCTCTATGATTTCCTGAAAGGAAGCTGCAGTGGAGTGGGTCTCTCTTCTCAGGTGACATTTCTCACAAGGAGAAGAGTCCTCAGGTTGCACAAGAGGAGGTTTAGATTGGATATCACGATGGTTTTCTTTACAGAGAGAGTGCTCAAGCATTTGGAACAGGCTGCTCAAAGAACTGGTGATCTGCTCACTCCTGGAGATATTTAAGATACCTGTGGACTTGGCACTAAAATGAACAGTTTAATGATGGCATGTGATAAATCAAGTTGACGGCTGGACATGATGACCTCAAAGGTCTTTTCCAACCTAAAGGATTCAATAATACTAAGATTCTATTAGCTCTCTTTCTCATGAGCTCTCTTTCTGAGCATCAGGCCACATCAATACTAAAAGTCACTGACACTGACCAAACAGATTAAGCAAACATTTGTTTGAGCTTATCTAGGATGTCAGGGAAGAAAATGAAAGGTTTTAGGAACAGTGAAGAACATTTTTGAGATTTTTTTCAGTTAGGAAAACTCCTTGTGCTATTCCCAGACACATAAAAATAATACCAATGTAAAGATAGCAGGTCAAAATAGGACTATGCATACATGCAGAAAAAATCATAAACTTCACTGTCAGTATTATCTTAAAGTGATGATGAAATTAAAATGAAAATACTGCACATTCAAATAAAAAATATTACTTTTTAAATGATTACAAACTTCTTTTCAAGGAAATCAATAGGAGGTGATTACAGAATCATAGAAACATAGAACATACCACGGTGGAAGGGACCCATATGGATCGTTACATTTAATAAATTCTCCACTGTGCCTTTCTGAAAAACAAATGGAGAGAGTATACTTTGTGTACACATTTATAACTGAATGACAAACATAAATAAGCATAATAAAAATATGTTTGGGTGTGTAAGTTTTATCCTGGCAGAACCTTGAGTAGGAGTGTTTACAATACAAAGTTAAAGAAAAGCACTTTATCAGCCTGCTTTTTCTGTGTAGTTGAGGAGGTTTCACACTGCCTCATAACCAATATGTTGTTGAACAAACGTGAAAGAAGAGCGAAGGACAGAATTTTATGTTCTTTTCCTGGTTGTGATAAAGATTATAACTTTTGATGGGCTAAATCCATAATATTCAGAATTAGTATGGTTTCGCAAACCATACTAAACACCCCTCTTTTAGTTTAAAACCATTCCCCTTGTCCTACCAAATCACACCATGTAAAAAGTAGGTCTCCGTCCTGATTATAAACTCCTTTCCTGCACAGGAAGACCACAACAAGGTCTCCCTGGAGCCTTCTCTTCTCCAAGCTAAACAAGCCCTCAACCTTTCCTCATGAGAGAAATGCTCCATGTCTCTCATCATCTTCCTGGCCCTCCTCAGGACCAGATTTAACTGAACTGCATCTTTCTATTGCTGAGGGCCCCTGGCCTGAACTCAGTACTCCAGGTGGAGCCTCACAAAGGCCGAGTAGGGAGAAACAATTACCTCCCCTGCCTTGCTGGCCACCCTTCTGTACCCTTCTGTAGTTGCAGCCCAGGATACGGTTGACCTTCTAGACTGCAAGTAAACATGGCTGGCTGATGTCCAGCTTTTCATCAACCAGGACCTCTTGCTGAACCTCTTTTAGGTTCACATTAACCAACTTCTCAAGTCTGTACAGGTCTCTTTGAATGACATTCCTTCCTTCTGTTGTGTCAACTGCACCACACAACTCAGCATGGTCAGCAAACTTTCTGAATGTGCACTCCATCCCACTGTCTATGTCAATGATAAAGATGTAGAAGAATGCCAGTCCCAAGACAGATCCCTGGGCATACCAGTTATTGCTGACCTCCACCTGAATCACAGAATCACAGAATGGCCTGAGTTGGAGGGAATCTCAAGGATCATGAAGCTCCAACCCCCCTGCCAT